TAACTTATTACTCTAGTTTATAGAATATGATCTTGTAAATTTATTATAACTTTAAGATTACTAATAATATTTTATTTCTAAATATAATTTCATTGAGAATGACTTTATATTGCTCTTAAATGCTTTGTTTATTATAAAGTAAATATTGTGTAAATATTAGTATTAAAACTAAAAATAATTAAATGTTTTTTGTACGAAAAAACTATCTATTGGTATACAGAATATTTGAGTCGTTTAGCCATATTTTGAGTTACATATGGATCCGATGAATATCTTTCATAAATGCTTGAATTTTGTATATTTTTAGAGTAAAAACAAAATATTCACATATTTCAAAAACTTTCCTAAACTCGTAAATTCATGGCGTTTAGACATTAGCGTCGCTAAGAACTTATGCCAAATCTAATTTATGATATTATAAGCAAATCTATAAAATTTTTGTGATTTAAGTCAGCAATTGTAGTATTAATAAAATGCCCGGGGATTTACTATCCTTGTTATCATTATTTAATGCAATTTATTATATGGTAAATTAATGTCTTAAAAAATTACAGAGCATTCGGGACTTAAAATCAAATCAAGTATACTATATATCAGATGCTGTGTATACAGTAGTGGATAATGAAGCACATGATTATATAACACATCCAAAACATATTGGATTTCAAATTAAAAATTTGTTACTAAAATACAACTACAAGTTGTCGTAAACGCCATTAAAGTGTGACTTATATTAATAGTAATGGGAATTCGTTTGTATAAAACCGATTCGCCGTCTCTTTTGACGCAAATATTGAATTACAATACTTATAGTAAAGTATATTTGAGATCATTTTCAGGCAAATCATTGCAATAATAGGCCAAAAATTATTAATGAAGAGCCAGAAGAGTGAATGTGAGCCAAAAATATGAAACTCTTTAGCGATTAGAGAAGAGATCGGATTTATAGCAATTACTGCATTATTATTATATCGTATATCATTGGTATGCGATTATCATTTGCTACTAATAATAGTAATGAAAATAAATTCTCATTATTTCTCGAGCAAAACATTCCTTATATTTGTTGAATAATTAAGACATTAAACAAAAACATTCACATAATTATTATTCAGCGCTAATAAACATAAAAGCGTCGGTAATGTCATTGAAAGTAATCATTTCATTAGGCGTTGTGTCAAAAGTTTTCAAAATTAATTAAAATTAAGGGAACATTTATATTAACTAAATAAGTTTAAATCTCAATCATTTTAAACGATACAAACATATGATAAATGGCTATAACTTCTGGAGTGAGACTGGATTTAAAACATTGAAATGAGAGATCGGGCGCTGGTTTTGGCCGCAAAGCACCGAATATTCTGTTTATATAAACAGTTTTCTTCGACTCATATTTTGCTATTTATTTTCATATCTCGCAGAAATCGCTAGTCGTTTGAACCCTATCCTCAATTTGGCATTCAGTCTGAATGTCTCGCTCTCAGCTCTCATACGGCTTTCAAACATACATAACCTTAAAATAAATGTCGCTATTTTTTCTTCACTCTCTTATATCTTATAACGGATTAAAACCTTCACTTCAAGCAAACAAAGAAATGTGAAAAAGAAGAAGACACAGCAAAAGTGAGGAGAGAGAGAGAGAGAGAGAAAGTGGAGCTGTGATGCAATTCAAATAAAACAATTGTGAGTTTAAGTGAAGAAATATAAAAAACATTTTAGAAATTGTTTCCAAAACTTTTGAATAATTATTATAGCAATGTTTGCCAATTCGTTATAACCTATTGTTATTTCAAACCCTCTCTAAATCTTGTATTTATTTGAAATATATGTTTGAAATATATATTTTCTCATTTACTTCATAGCACTCATACAATGCATATCATTACCACTTCAACAATACAGTGGCGTTACGATTGTATGATAGCATCGATCGGAAATTTTCATTAAATTTAAATCAATTGCCAGTAATTCAAGACATTTGAGCGCAAAATTCTCAAACAAATAATTTTAGATTTGTTTAATTTGTTGTGTATTGAATGCCAGAGTTGTATGGCTTGATGTTTACGCCACACAAACCATAGTTAATGTGAGCCATAGAGGCATACAATTCATGTATTGACCAAATGAGCCGTTCAGACATCAAATGCTACACCAAATACATCGACACAAACAATAATATATCAGCGCTTTTAAGAGTGAATACAAGTGATCCCAGAATATGGAAGTGCTTTGAGGGGAATGTATTGACCAAATGAGCCGTTCAGACATCAAATGCTACACCAAATACATCGACACAAACAATAATATATCAGCGCTTTTAAGAGTGAATACAAGTGATCCCAGAATATGGAAGTGCTTTGAGGGGTTGTTGTGAGCCATACACTGCACATCATAGTTATAAATATATGGATACAGTCTAACCTCTGCGAGTGAGCTCTTGTTGCGAAATATTTTTAGTTAGAGAACATATTTAACATATTTGACAATATAACAAACAATTCTTTATGAAAATTTGTTAATTTAAACAATTATATTTAACTTATTTAAAAATCTATATAATATCACTAATATACATTAATAATATACACATAATATCGTTAATGTATTTACTGTATAATAAGTAAGAAAATGTGTGCATTAAAATAGTTTAACATTAAATTATACTACATTTATGCCAAACCTATGTATGTGTATTATATGCATCAAGTGTTTAACTTTAAAATGTAAAGAATTAAACTTATTATTTGCAAGAATTTCTTATATAAAAAAATGTTCATAAATGGTTGTATCCTTATGTGAACATTACTCACAGAGAGGTTCGACAGTATATATAAAGCAAATTGTTTTGAAGGACTGTCGGGTACAGGGAATGGGCGGACAGCCAATTGAGTCACAACAAGAAGAAAAAATCAATGCATTGAGTGGACAGACACTCGTCAACAGAATAACATTATTGTATATAAAATAAAAGAGGAATTAATATATGGTTAGACTTACCTCGAGAGTAGTTGAATGATTCAGTGATTTGATTGCATTGCTAGCACTGGTGCGCGACGTGAATGTGACAAAAGCACAGCCTATTGCCGATCGGGAGGACAAAAAATACATATAAATTGTTTGTCATAAAAATTTACACAAAATGGACTCAAAAACAAATTGATTTATCGATATATTGTGTCAAAAAAATATGTGATTCACTTCTTATGAATTAATTATTGGGAAATAATTTACTGTAAAAATAAAGTCATATGTATTACACAATGAGAAATAAATCACAACCAATTTCACTAATTAGCCATTCATTTGGGAACTTTTATTAATAAACTCTTACTTTCCGACTCATTAAATGTTTTAACATTTATTTTTATTATCAAATGAGAGACATATTTCATTAAATTCACAAAATTAACAATTCATTGTTATTATAACTATAATCTCAAACAATCATAAATAAGTTTGTAATCAAATTACTATAAAATGAAAAATAAGTCATTATTTTAAGTTTTAAAAGCGGATTATAAAATATATTGAGATTTAACATATTGTAGACTAGAATTAGATTCAATGATATTATAAAATTGACAAAACAGTTGCAAAATATTCTGAATGATTCCATAAGAGATCAATCAATTGAATTCAAGAGCTTTTGTTAAACTAAATGGTATACGAGAAAAGATCTCTTCTTTCTTTCTATTTTATTTTCGACTCCAAAACTTCACTATATATTCAGATCACAAATTTTGGAGGCCTTTAAGGAAGTCTTGAATTCGAGTCAAAAATAAAATTATGTCAAAAAAAGGTATAATGAGTCAAATAAAGAGACTTTATTTACATTTAAATAAATCCAAAATAAAATTATTTATAATTAGATACCGGATATTAAATATTATTTTATAAGTAATTACTTTCATTAATATTTGCTTTATAAGTGTTCACTTGATTTTAAATTATTTATTCGTTAAAATTTTTATAAATAGTGGTTAATTATGTGGAATTAATTATAACTGTATTTTATATAATACTGTGTAATAAACATAAAATGTTGATTGAATTTTCCGTTTTGTCAAAATTTAAATTATTTATTCGTTAAAATTTTTATAAATAGTGGTTAATTATGTGGAATTAATTATAACTGTATTTTATATAATACTGTGTAATAAACATAAAATGTTGATTGAATTTTCCGTTTTGTCAAAATCGTAAAATGGATAAAACAAAAGCAGATATTTTTAACTAAAATACATTTTAATTAGTGCTTGTTTTTAAACAACAATATTAGAGACTTCAGGAATATATGCACAATATTTTGACTGACATCACACCACTATTTATAAACTATATTTACAAATACTAATTAGTTTTGGATTAAGAAGTAAAAGTTATTTTATCACATATTTCTATCAAATCTTCAAATATAATCTTTTCTGTAATAAGAATAAAATTTCAAAACTGAAACACGACTTACAGACAGAAATATAATAAAAATAAACAGATTCTTCACAGATATAAAGTTGTGATTTAATTTCGTGTTAGTTGTGATAACATATTGAAATATTTTCTCCATGTATACAAATACTATATATTTTATATATTGTTGATATATAAAAATAAAATATTCTCTTTATATATCAATAATAATATGGAAAGAATTTCAATGAGAGACGCGAATAAAGTTTTGAAATTAAATTTAGTGCTCAGTAACACAATAATAGTGCCATTGGTTTCAAACAGCACTAACTTTATCTGCAATAAGTTTCGGGAATTCTGTGCAAAACATTCATAAAAATTCCGGACATGTTTTGCGACAGATTCTCGTCATAACTATTAATGTGTCGCAAATTTGTCCATCAATTACTCAATATATCAATTCGTTTAATAATACAACATATCGTTTAGCGACGAGTAAAAAGTGTGTAATTAATTGTATAGTTTTTGAGCTCACATTTGGCACATATTTGAGTAATTTAATTGCTAATACGAAAAATGCAATTTAGTTATCGTCACAAACCTTTACTCATTCCGCTATTGTCTCTCAATATAGAGCACTCCTCTATCACTCCATAACTCGAAAACATGACTCGAATATCGCTTTCACTCATTGTTTTCGATAGCATTCCGACGAATAGTTTTCTCTCTGTATTTCATTTCATATTTTCATTAATAATAATAATAACAATAATAATAATGCCATATATTTTGCAGATATTGATCACAAAATATAAGAATGTATTAATATTGGACATACCGTTACGGTTTTCAGTGTCCGCGGGCTTCATCTGAATCGGATGGTGACACTATATATTTTAATTAAATTTACCATCAATTTTAATTAATAACATTTTAGTTCAATAACTAATAATATTATCTAAATATGATTTAAATCCAATGCAAACATTAATATATTTAATGTTTTTAAAAGCAACAGTTATATCATGTAAATCACACGCAACTTAAAATAATTACATTAAATATAACATTAAATATAACAACAAAAAATGGTCATTAATTTCACTCATTTAATACCAATCGTTTTCATTTGTGATAAAATCAAATGAAATTAGAGCCAAGTTTTACACACCGTTTGCAAAAAACAGTAATCTCTCGAATGGAGTCACGATTTAATTAATGAAATGAAAACTAATTTACGAAACGAAAAACTAGTGAACAAAATAACGAAGAATAATATTTACCAAAAATGAAGACAAAAACTCACACTTTATTAACGTTTTGATGGAAAAAACAAAATTAAACTAAAATATTTGCCAAACAAATAAACAAACAAAAGGACTCATTCAAAGTAAATGCAAAGTTTTTCGGAGTAATAACGATATAAAACATAACCGAAAAACATTATATGTTTTGCAAAATCGATATAAAAAAATATTCGCACGGAATTGAGAACAAGAATTCGAGAGCAGCTAAAAAATACAGTAATAAAAATAAAACAAAAACAATTTTTCGGGATTTAATACTTATAGTGAGATTTGTTGCAATGAATTCATACCGGGATCTGTTGTGTGGCTCTCATGATAGTGTCAGTGATGTTGCAGTTATTGCACTGCATTTGTGGTCCGCAAGAATTTATGCCACTATTGATAGCATTGACAGATTGGTTGTGACCTAACAGTAGCTGTGCTGCGGCCGCTACTATCAGGTCCTTTGCCTGCTTTGATATAACATCACTCGTATCGCAATTTGTATTATTATTATTGTTATGATTATTATTATTATTGAATCTTCTATTCGTTCGGCACCTGTTGTTTGCTTTCATTTGTTTCAGATATTTATTTTTGATTACTTTCTATTATTAGTTTTTCTTTTCTATTATTTCTTATTTATCACAAGCATTTCAAACTAATCCCAAACATAAGTGACATATTGTGAACATAAGTCCAAAAACGGATTCAATACAACTGTAAGACTTACGAAGAGTAAGAGCGCAACAATTGCCACATCAGAAAAAGCAAACCATCGGTTGAAATGTACTCTAACTTAAGCTTTATTTCACTTCACTTGGAGTCCAACACTTCTCTACACATAACTAATATCAAGAGTTATACGGAGACAGAAAAAACTTCCACTGCTTTCATACCAATAGCTCTCTCACAACATCTATAAGGCATGCGCTCTAAACCAATGCAACATTTCTTCACTAAATTAATTTAGTTGTGTTTTGGCTCATAATATGTGCGCCTCGTTTAACAACATCCACCGCACCATCTCTCTCATCCTCTCTCTCTCTCTCTCTCTCTCTCTCTCTCTCTCTCTCTCTCT